GTTAAAGTCATGGTCGCCAATATATGTATTTTTTTTTTTCGAGAAAAAACTTATGAGGGCGAGAAGTACGAAGTTTTTATTTTTCTAGCATGGAGTCTGATAGGTACTGTTGTACAGGTTTCTTGGGCGAAACCGTAGAGTAGTTTTGTCTCTTACCCTGTAAATCTATGACGCCAAGATTTCGTCAATTCGCATTGATTAGCCAGATAGCTGCTCTTCTTAACGAGGGTCTGATGAGGGTGTTGCATGCTGCATACTCGTTCATCTCGTACTGATGTTCGAAGGTGTTTTCGTATGTTGATAATCAATTTTGCGACGCTTCTATTATATATGGTTTTTCATTACAATCCACTCTTTTTATATCACTCTGATGGTCCTCGGCTAGATTTGGGTGTAATGATTGGGAAAATTGTCTTATTACTTCTACTTGGTTGTCAGTTGCTCAGTAACTGAGTTAGTAGAGAAAGTTTTTCTGGGTTTTTGTTAGAGTATCTAAGCGCCAGTTAACTCCGCTTGCCATATGGCATTAGTATTCAGTAAGAAATCCTTTGGACTTAGAAATGCTAGTACGCGATGTCTTTGACTCTGGCAGAGCGAGCAGACATCTCCATGACGGTATCCGTTGCAGTGTATGATGTGTCTTCTCTAGCTTAATTTGTGTAAGCCAGCTGCTTATAGTCCCGATGTGTAGATCGACGTGACTTGACGAAGCTTGATTTGCTATCTGGCCAACTACAGCGGATTTCCCTACGTTTTGCTCTTAACAGTCAGTGAATCATTCTGAGTCATTCTATGTCGGTCAGCCTTTGGTATCTTTTTGGGGCAAGTTTTTCGGGAATTTAGAATGCCTCGAAACTTCATTTGCATTGGTAAGCTGACGTGTTTTTTGCAGAGTTTTCGTCGCTTAATTTTTTGAAATTTTATTGACTCCATTTCTGAGCAAATCTATTATTTGCTCCGACCACAAGTGTTGAACATAATCGTGTCTCGCTAATTACAGTTTTGTGTACTTGCGACAGCCTCTATTTTTATCTCTTCTACAGATGCGGGAATATGCCAAAATGTTTGCGCGGAATAAATTTTTCAGGAGGCTGGTCAAGTTTTTTTAGTAGAAGTTTTGCAGATAATTAATTTATGCAGAATTTGTGAGTTGGGGTTTTTTTTCCCATTTTTAGTATAGTTTAAATTTTTTTTATAAAACAGGTTTCGCGGCGATGCTGCAGTTAGTGAACTCATTTGAATCTGACCTTTGGAAACAGCTGAAGTACGCAGAGGGTGTAAGAAATCTTAGCACCTCTTTTTATTTTGGTTTTCATAACTTTTGGACCTTTTAACAGCTCAGCTTTTAGTTTTGCTTTTCTTACCAGGAGAGCGTAATTTCAAAATGCTTTCTGAGAAGTTCAAAAAGTACTTTTTCGAACACGGCGCCATGAAATATTACTCTCAGTTTTGGTCGTTGTATTAATTTGATGTGAACATCTTATTTGTGCCTGCAGGAGATATTGTGTCGGATGAAATTAAATTTCTAAAAGTCCTGCTTTAATGAACGGCGTTAAAATGTTTCGAGGGTGACAGTGTTGAGGTAAAATAATTTTTTTTCTATGCTCCAGCGCAGTTTGATTCTGCCGTCATTACGTTTCTGTATGTAAACTTTCCTGATTTCGCATTCCGGGTTTGTGCCTTAAAATTTTAGAAAGTTCGCGAGGAGTGTGAGTTATTAGCTAAAAGTGAGTTTGTTACTTGAAATACCATAGCCCCTGTTTTCATTTGATTATTTATTCTTCTGTTTTTTTAGTTCTTTGCTTTTTATTTTGGAGTTCTACGAACATTCGGATTGAGTTAATTTAGTAATTTACAGGTTTTGTCAGGTTCAATTAGTAAAAGGTTCTATTTTTTTTTTTTTTTTTTTTTTGGCTAGTAAAGGATGTCTTCAGTAAATGACGCTTTGTTGGAGTTATAAGGAGGAAGAGAATAAGTTATGTTTCCCTTAGTTTCTGTTGACCTCATGAAATACAACTAATTAAGTTAATATGAAGCCTTTTGCTTTCAGGCACCTGAGGTCTTTGCGCCGCAGATGTCAACAGCCTTGGGCTCTGCAGGACAACAGATGTTACAGTTAGATGAGAAGAAATCGACAGTTCCTTCAAATTTTTCCTCAATACCACAGCTGAATCCAACTGTTTCTAGCGCTCCAACATCCTCACCACTATTTGCTGCTCCGAGCACACCAAATCCTTTCCTTCTTGCTGCTTTACTTATGCAACAGAATCAGGTTTCATCCCAGTTACCAAATACCGTGCAAAGTTTTGCTGCATTGCTGCCATACTTGCAGCAAAATCAAAATGGTATCCCGAACGACCTTCTGATGCAGAATCTTTTACTTCAGCAGATGACAATACCGCATCTTAGTGCCGCATCACCAACTGTCATTCAGCAGCAACAACAAAATTCGCAGCAATGGATCCCAGCCGCAAGTGCAGCGTCTGCGTCAGATAATGTTTCTTCTCCTGTATTGTCGACTAGTGAGGAGACACTGTCAGTATTATCCGAATCTTCTCACATCAGTCCACGTCCTCGTGATATTATTTCACCAGATAAAGATGCTCCGTTGGTGATACCGGAAGACGAATATATGATCGAATCACTGATCGAGGCTAGAAAAGGTTTATCTGAAAAAGAAACCATAGCGGTTGCCGTTTTGGCGGGCATGGCCGGTTATCAGCGATAAATGTGTTACCTGAATTTTTTTTTATTTCTGTCAACAGAAGGTTATTCCACAGTGGGGGTACGTTTGAGTTAAACAATTTGTGCATTTAGGGATATATTTTTTTGACTTATAAAGAGGGTTTTCTTTTTCTTCTTAAAGATCTGCTGGATTTCTGTTGTTCTGTATGAACACTGCAAAAACTCTTCTTTTAAATGACTTGTAAATGGTGTAGAGATCTAGGTCCAGCGTTTATTTTCTATATTTTGTTTCTTAGACTTGGCATGCCATCTATTTCATTTGTTTACTTGTTTAGAGAGGGTATTTTTTTTTTCTCGCTAAAATGGAGTTTGTGCTTTGTTGATAATATTTTGTTTTGTTATTCTATTACAATTACTGGTATGTGCTGTTGGAAAATGATAGGAGGACACGAAAAACTTTTATTTTTTATTGTATTGGGGGAAGACGTCATTGAAAAATGAAGGGGAATTTTTTTTGTTCTGATTTTGGTAAGCATCGTGTTCTTAATCAGTGGCACATTGCAGTCCTCATTGGTTTAATACGTGTACTTTTTATGGAGAGCGATATTAATTCGTTTTTTTTTCATTGCGTTGTGTCTTAATCGTGTAAAGCGACTTTCGAACAAGACTGCCTGAGGTTTCAGGTAATGATCTAGAAACGG